TGCTGTGAATAACTTCCAGGCAGGCAGCCAGGAACTGTCATCTGCCAGTGCAACACTATCCATCCTGTCAATCTTGTTTTATAATTGTAACATTCTCATATTCTCCGGCTGAGCAGAGAGAAGTTTCCAACATAGACACACGCATACACACACAAAGGCACACACTTCTTCACTAACTGTGTTTCTCCACAACATTCACATCTTATTCGTCATTTATTATTAGTATAAGTATTTAAAATAGCTGTTTTAAATGTAGTAGTAATGTGCTTATATTCATTGATTTGTCTCCAACAGTACAGTAAGTCTGACGTATTCTCATAAAGCTTCTTTTTGTGAGAAAGAACAACATTTTTTTGACAGCCTGTTTTTCATCACAGTCCCCTTTTTGGCACTGCAGTGCAGTAATTGAAGAGCTTCTGCTGGTGCTGATGGAGTCAGTTTTTCTTAAATCTCATTGCAAATCATCAGCAACCATCATAAAAGAAAGACATCTACCCTTTAAACTCTTTTATTTAACAATAATTCAAACTAAATCTGTCCTTTCATGATTAGGCAGAAAGGCCATTTAAACCTTTACCAAGATGATTCTGTGTTGCTTTCAGTTTCCTTTATAGTAACAAAAAAATTGAGCACATTAGTTTCAGTTTATTATATCAAGTCCATCAAGGATCTCATCAGTCTTTCACCTTTATTAAGTTGCCACCCAGCAAAGTTAATACCCAAGGACACAGCAACAAATACACAGAGGAAGAAGGTTTCCACCGTCTCTTCTTTTCACACGCTTCAGAATGATAATTCAGCCGGCTCACCATTCAGTTACGATTTTAATCCACCCGCGACTAAGAGCTTTAGAGCGGTGATGTGGAGCATACAGTTATCACAGAGATGGCATGAGCAATGACGTCTGCCACCACATTTATCACCGGACACTCTTAGTGAGGGAGACCAGATCCAATTACAGAGGTCTCTATGGGCTCAACAATGGTCTGCTAAAAATACACCCAGAGAGGCTTTTCCACACTCAGCAGCACACCCACACACAACCTGATACTGTTTAACAATATACATGTATGTATATCTTCGCTTGGAGTGTTTATTTTTGTCACTATCGGAGGTAAGACTAAGAGATTCTGCTCCGTTCTGAGACTCTTTAGAAAATGTGCAGAAATGTGGCGAGTGACGCGTGCACCTGTGTGTAGGCGTGTGTACATGAACAGGTATAGAATAAAAGGAAGAACGCCGAAGGAAGCACACAGGGGCCCCCGTGGAGCACTGAATAGAAAGTTATTTACAGCTCAGTCCATCAATAAACGACAGGTGCAGCATCCTCACAAACAGACGTATTAGCTTTCCTCCCGCTGGAACAATATCATCTCTAGCAGCCGGCCGCTGTCTCCCTCTCTCACACACTCACTCTCTCAAACATCTCTATGACAGCAATGCAACCAAGTCATGTTACTGCTGGATTTTATAATGACATTAAAGAAAGAGAATGCAAGTTAATTCCTGTTTTTATTTGATTCATTCGTTGACTTTTTCTTCCAGCAGTTCCAGGAGTAATTCAAGCTTTTTGGAGCTTTTTCAATGGTTTATCTGACAAATAATATGGTTTCCTCTAATATAGATCATTAAATATGCTTGTGCTATGATTTCTTTTTGGTGAGAGAAATTCTAGAATTTATTTAGTATGGCAGCAACTCAGTGTATTTAGGCATGTAGACATAGTCAAAAACCTGATGAAGCATCAGAATGAGGAAGAAACATGTTTTAATGCTAGGTGCCAGACAGGCTGGTCTGAGTATTTCAGAAACTGCTGATCTGCTGGGATTTTCCCACACAATCATCTGTACGATTTACAGAAAATCGTCCAAAAACAGACAGCGAGCGGCAGTTCTCAGGGTGAAAACACCTTCTTGAGGTCAGAGGAGAATGGCTAGGCAGCTTTGAGTTTGAGTAACAGCAAACCTTGAAGCAGTGCAGACGACCAGTTGAATAGTAACATCTAATTTTGTATAAACAGCATGAGAGTAAGTCACTAAGAACAATAAACCAAACACTGCTCAACTATCGATCCATGTCCTTAGGTACACCTGTTCAACTGCTTGTTTATGGAAAGATCTAATCTGCCAATCATATGGCAGCAACTCAGTGCCTTTAGGTGTATAGATATGGTCTACACTACCTGCTAAAAGGCAAACCGAGCATCAGAATGGGGAAGAAAGGTGATTTAAGTGACTTTGAACGCAGCATGGTTGTTGGACGAACCTTGTATTCTGCTGCAACATTCAGATAGGTCAGAGTTTGTTGTAAAAAGCATAAAAGCATAGATCCATCCTGCCTTGTATCAAACGTTCAGGTTGCTTGTGGTGTAATGGTCTGGGGGAAATGTTCTTCACATACTTCCAGCCACTTAATACTGACTGAGCATTGTTTAAACACGACAGCTTACTTGAGAATTGTTGCCAACCATGTCCACCCCGTTATGACCACAGTGTACCGATCTATTGATGGCTGCTTCCAGCATAACACACCATGTCACAGACTCAAATAATCTCAAAGTGGCTTCTTGAACATGACCAAAATCATCAGAGCTTAGTCTTAGTGAATGTTTTCAGCACTTTGTTGAATCTGTGTCACAAATGATTAAGGCAGTTCTGACGGCAAGCAGAAACTAGCAATTTATAACTAACAAAGCTGCCAGTGAGTGGATATGGATTTCTGATTGGGGGGGAGGGGGGTGCCATTAGCTTATAAATAAACCAGTGGTTATAGTCTGATATGGACAAGGACAGCCGTAGACACCAAGGACGAGTTGTCATTTCTTTTTCTTTCTTTTTTTTTCTTTTTTTTTCTTTTTTTGTGTCCCGTTTGGATCTTTAGCCATCAGAATTGTTGTCTTAAGGCCAAGAAAGATGCCAAGCAGATTTATTTTACCAAGTGGATCATCATGGCCTTGCCATATTGGTCCATTTGATTGATCTTTATTATAATTATGAATTTATTTTATTTTCAGTTGCTACAAACGGGACAGACATGACTGGGGGATAGGACAGGGAGAAAGAATGAAAGAAAGAGAGGGAGAGAAAGAAAACCAAAGGGGAGAAGAGACGATGAGAAGGGGGGGAAGAAAGAAAAAAAAAAAAAAAAAACAAACAAAACACCTGGATCACCTGTATGGAGAAAAAAAACAGAAGAGAAAGCAAACAACAAAGAGCAACATAATAATAAAAAAAAAACCCAGCACCATCACAATAAACTAGCTAGCAGTAGATAACAGTAGATACTAAATAAAAAACGATATTGTGCAGCACGCAAGATAGACAGCGCACAATGTGCTTTGAGGCAGCAGCCAAGAAAGGTGTAGTCCGCGTCTGTGAACACCCGTGTGTACACCTGTGTGCATACCTGTGTGGATCAGCACGCTTGTATTCCAAAGGTTTCTCCATGTAACGATCTGCTAGGGAGTGTGGGGAGCCATAGCCCCGTCCACCAGGGTATGAAGCAGGTATGGAGGAGATCCAGGCCCCAGATATCCAGAGGCCCCAGAGTACAAGGACCCGAGGAGGACCACCAAAGGGGGGGGAACTGTGCCACCCTCCTGGGAAGAGCTGAGTAGAGCCCCAAAGGAGAGGTCACCCCGCAGCTACGGAGCAGAGGCCAGAGGGGGTTGCAGTGGCGTGCCCGCAGGCTCTGCCGGCAGCCAGCTGTGCCAGAGAGGACCGAGCTTCAGGCCCAGAGGCCAGAGGCCTGAGGGCATCCCACCCCCGGAAGGAGCCCAGCCGGGCCACAGGCGCCCGGCCCCGCCAATCGGCCACCAGGAGTGAGCCGGTACATACATGAGCGCCCAGCCCCAGACGACAAGGACCACCAACACACCAACGTCTGAGGGCATCAGCCACCGGCAGGGAGTGTGGTGAGGGGAGATAGGCCTCCGTACTTTAGAGGGCCTGAGATGTACCCAGAGAGGTTGAGTCTAAGACCCAACCTGACATATAGACACAGACGAACAGGCACACGCGGACACAGACGTGCATTCCCACCCCATATGCACAACCAAATACTCGGCACTCACCCAACGTGTAGACAGACACAAATAGACACTGCACAGACAGTCGCACTCCCCAAACATACTCTATATCCCAGGTCCAGGTACCCCCGCCCTCAGAGGGGCAAGCCGCACCTAGACCCAGGAGATGTAACCCTTCTCTCTGGGGTGGAGGCAAGCGGACCACCTCCTTATCTGCAGTAGCAGGGAGGCCCCGCATCCCAGACCCCAGTCTGACGGCCAGCACCTCCTCCCAGCCCCCCAGCCCTGACGGCTAACAGAACCGGGGTGAGTGAAGACCTCAAACCTCCCTACGCCCGCTCATATGTAGTGTTGCTGTGTGCTGTTCTAAAGTGCATTTAAAACTCAGGAGAGCATGGTACTAGCTTCCTCTCAGAGAGCAGCACGGCTCTTCCCGAAAACCCTTAGTGTCTAAATGCATTTAAAATTGAGGGTAGGGCACCAGCGCCAGAGGTGGGTTGGAGTACACCGACCATCCTCTGGATGCTGTAAAACGTGCCCACCCCCAAGGCCCTATATGTATGTGTTATGTGAGAGTGTGAGTAATGTGGATGTCTAGGTTGCAGAATAAAATTGAGGCACAGGCGGCCAGAAGGGGACAGAGGGGGAGTGCCTCCCCTGCACCCTGGTGACATACCTGCACCCCAAGCCCTGCGTGTGTGGGTGGGTGTGGTAGAGCGGGAATAGGGAGGCAGCTGAGGATGGGGAGGGAAGAAAGGGAGGGGCAAGCGGCCCCTCCCTGGGGCCAGCTCCCCCGCTGACCCCAGTAGGCACCCCCACACTCTGGAACCCACCAGGGCAAGGGGGCCCAGGCCCATCCGGACCGGGGCCCGCAGCAGCAGCACCGCCCAGCCCCACAGAGTCCGGGGCAGCCCACCCGACTCCACCCCAGAGAAAACTGCACCCACCCCATCATCCAATCATCTCCCAAACTACACAAGACAATAGACACCCAGGTTGAGTTCATTCTCCACCTCTCCTATATCTCTCCCCCCACCTGCAGAGTGAGCTCCTGTAGTGAGGAGACCACCTGCAAAGATATAACAATCTCCCCACCAGTTAGAGAGCCCCTAGTAGGGCCGATGCACCAGAGGTCCCCTGCACTGGGGCTGAGCCCCCCTGCACCCACCCGCCCACTGCTCTGGCAACACAACAGCCAGGACCCAAGCCCCCAAGGCCCGGCCAGCACCCCAGACCGGGGGGCGGAGCACCCCCAGACCCCCAAGCCTCCACGCCCGTCCCGGACCCTCCCAGGGGCAGCCAGGCTACCAGGCCAGTAACCAACGTCCGCCAGCACAGACCCTCCCCCATCTCCGCTGTACGCAGCCAGTTGTCGAGTGACGAGTTGTCATTTCTGTTAAACTCATTTGAAATCCACCTGAATGCTGCACATACAGTTGGTCCATTGTAATTTAAAGTTTCCACAGACTTATAGGCACACGGTGTCCACACATAGCCTCTTCCTCACCATCTGATGACAAAATTTATGTTATGTGGCCAAGCAAACTGAAAGACTCTTTAAAGACTGAAAGACTTTACTCTCTCGACTAAACACGGTCCTTTCTGACTCCAAAAATTTATTTGGCAGCAGCCTAAGCTTTAATGTTGAGCTTTCAAAAGCTAAAGTCCAGAACAGCAGGAGACTTCCCAGTGCCTTTGTGCATTACTTATATGGAGACGATGGCTACTGAAAAAAATAGATACAAATTAACTCTCCATTTTTAAGTTAAAAATTTAATCTGTCCAAAATCTTTTAAACTAAGTCTTTCCTAACTTTGCTAATTGGCAATGGTATAATGAGCTAAGATGGCAAGTATTATAAATAGCAGACTATACCTGATTTCTTTATTATGCAAAATTAGTCATAGTATGAAACAGAAGGTAGTATGGCAAAATGTAGTTCCTTTGTGCCACTGACAATAAGCCACGGGCCAAATTTATCTAAAGAAAACTTCAGCATGTGGCCACAGCTATACAGTAGTTATATGTCTGCAAAGTAACTATCAGGTTATTGAATGGATATACTCAAAATTTAATTGCCATGAAAAAAGCTTATGCAAGACCATTCTGGACAATAACGCATGTCACGTATCAAGAAAAAGGCCTTTCGTCTGCAGAAGATGCAGAAGCAAAAGTGAAGAAGGTTTTTGGAGTTTGGCACCCATATAGCAAATCACCATGACAAGGGTGTGTGAGGGGCAGAAGGCAGAGGCTGAAGGCGGCGTTTAGTCTGTCAGGTCAAAAGTTAAGGAGCAAATAGCATCTCCAAAGGGTAGCTTTCCACTTTTGGAAAAAGGTGGTGTCAAGAAACACTGAGATATATTCACAGGAGGATATCTTTTCAACATGGGTTAGAGTAATCTGAAGGGACAGCATGCCTGAGTCAACATGGACATGTGACCAGTCAAACTGAAAAGAAACACTGAAAGTCAAAACAGATTATCAAGTCAGATAAAAGGATTATACTTTTCGTAACAGTTAAAGGAACTCTCAGAGCCGCCGCGTTTGTCTGAGTTCTCCTTATGAAACGAATCGCCTGCTGCTCTCATTACGCCTGACTTGGGCAGCACGTTTGCCATTTTGTAACATAATGAACACTTCTTGCCCCCTCCTCTTTTCTTCCCTTGTCACTTTTTTTCCACTGTGTCTGCCAACACCAAAATCCAGCTGACCAGTACGTGGTGTACAGTAGGATCAGGTGTCGACTGGCTGAATGCAGCCGCGGCTACAGATCGCTGTGGCTGAGAGCGCCGCGGTGTCGTCTTCCTCCCATCAAGGGTGCTGCCAACATTAACACCATGTATGACAAAACAACATAGACTTGGTGAAAAGGACTTTGTTTAGTCACTTTTCATCACATCATTAATATGTAACAAGCAGCAGCACAGTGGACAGTGCCTTAAATAAAGTCTAAGCGCTGTTTCTTGCACTGAAACCACCAACTAGACAGTTTTGTTCTTATAGCACAACAACATTGAATCTACTTAAATGTCTGACATACTTTTTTTAAATACACAGCTCTGAGAGGCTCGATTTAGACACAGTTATGCTTTGAAGTTAATGCTAACAGCAGCTTGCTAACTTATCAACAGTGTTGGCATGCTAGCATTCAGTCCTGGAGGTCCCCGCCGTGCTGTTCTAAAAATGCAACAAGGGCAACCTGGCAGAGTCAGCGAGGAGGCCGCCACGTACTGGTACAACAAGAACTAATGTGTAATTCTTAATTTTACTGCATCAAATTTGAGATTTTGAACCTTTCAGTCATAACGCTGTTATTTGTTCTAATTTCCATTTCAGTGAGGGAGGAAAGCATTTTGCTTACATTTTTTAAATCTCGTTCGGGCCTCTCTTTCTCAAGTGTCTCTTTAATGGGCCTCAATGCTTATGGTTTCACAGCTACCGCATGACTTTTGGTTGCTATTTTAAGGTGGAAATTTTCAATGTACATTGAAGGAAAGAGATCTCAACCATGCTAGCAACCTTAGTGTAACCTAAAAGCCATTTTTGGCTGCTCCCTTATTCACATGGGATCATCAGTGTAGGTAGCTCTGCATATTTGACTTGGCAGATTTTTACACCGGATACCTTTCCTGATGGAGCCACTAAGAGATTCATGTCTCCTGCCAGGATCAAACCGGGGACCTTTTGCTGTTAAGTAAATGTGTAACCCACCACAGCATAGAGCTCTTACTCGTTCGTCTTACTTTAGCATATGATGAGGAATAAAGACAATTATTAATTAATTATAATTGACTGTCAATATCCTGATAGTCCATGTGACACAAACAAACCCATCATTTAAAAAATAGCTAAGAACTGTTAGAAACTACCTTCCTAATTATTTTTGTGGTCATTTTTAAGCCTTTTCAATAAGTATAACTGTTTATTCCTGGGCTGTCTTTAGGCTTAAAAGTTACTTTTGGCTGCTCCCTTATTCACAAGAAGTCACCACAGCACAGTAGCTCCACACTTTTGATGTGGCAAATTTTAACATCACATGCTCTTCTTAACACAATCCCATTTGCTTCTCGTGGAATAAACGGCAGATGTATTGCTTTTTAGGTGAACGTGAAAACTGCTAAATTATCTTTCAACCATTTTTTAGATAATTGTAGAAACTCTAATCTGTGCAGTTACCTATTTCCTAACATTTAAACAAAGTCAATTCAAGGTGATTTCCAAAAGATTCAATATCAAGTATTCGCTGCCTTTTAATTTTTTTTTTTTTTTTGCACCATTTTACAAAAGGCCTGGCATTATTTTGCACGCACACAAACTCATACAGAAGAAGTACTTTTCATACCATTTGAACACTCAAGTGCTCGTAGCTGCTCACGTCATCACGTTTCACCGTGATTCCTTAAGAATTTTCTTTCGGTCATTTTGAAATCAAAATATAAATCCAACATGTATATAAAAAAAACAACCAAAACAAAACTGCACAATTCTGAAAAATATGGAAGACAGGTGGAGAGATTTACAGTCACAGAATTGAGGTCCACAACATGTAATGTATCTGATGCCTAAGACAAGAAATATGTCTGCCTGCGAATTTGAATTTTCTGGCATTAGTTTATACAAATCATACAAGACTCGATCTGGACGGCGCCACCGTGGTTCTAACGTTCAGTGCCTCTGTAACAGAACAATTTAATTTTACATGTCTTAAACAGCCTGTCACAACTTAATGACCTTCCAGTTTAAACAGTGTGACGTACTGGACACTCTTTGACATACTGCATTAACACTAGCAACACTAACACTTGAATTCTGAGAGTGACTCATGCCTGTGATAAAAGGGCCTTGCTATATGTGATGTTTGGAATAAAGGTTCACTTAGTGTGGTTGATGGAGTGAGGTTTTATGAAAAGGCACTTTGTATTTTCACTTAGCAAGTCAATTTTCATTCTTACATAAAGCCCGAGAAGCCTGTCGTCACAGGTGTATGCAGTTTAACAGGAGAGCCGCCTGAATCAGCCTTTAAAAGGTGCTGAAAAGTGACAGGCGAAGTGATATGGCAGATTTTTTTCTTCAGCTTAAGGCAATTAGGTTTTTAACTGGTAGTATCAAAATAAAAACTTTGGTAAACTTTGGTCCAAGACCTTCCACATGAGCATGTTTAGTACTGCGGCTATAGTTTCCATAGAAAGATATAAGTAAGTATTTTATTGTGGAAAAGTGGGACTCTTTCACAGCTGCCTGTCATCTCCAATCTCGGCCTCTGAGTGGGCCAATCAAGCAATTCTGAAAACATGCTTTAAAAAAATTAGTGTGTTTCTGAGTATTTAACACTGCATGGCATCTACCATGATATCCATGTGTTATAGGCTGCATAGCAGGACAACATTCACAAATAGCACTGCAAAAAAGTCACCTTTACCAATGCACACGAAATATATATAAACAGTGTCATGAAATATCAATCTTTTACAGCATTCACACAGGTACTATATTTAATAGCACTTAAAGATAAAAAAATAATGGTCTCTTTAACTATGCTAGCACACCTCCGTATGCTAGAAGGAGGTTTAGTAGAGTGGAGTGAAAAACCTCACGTTTGGTGCTTTTGAACTCTTTTGTTCATTTTAAAACGGCAGCGTATCCATAAAGATTTTCTCCACTATCGGAGGAGGAGGCACCAGGTCCTCCAGTTTCAGGTAGAAGATGCGCTGCAGGCCTTGTGTGCACAGAGTCCTCAGTTCAGGCAGTTTGCCCAGAAGGCGAGACTGATAGTTGGGTTGCGTCCGGCTCAGTTCTGATCCATTTCCACTCACGTGTTCCCTTAGACAAGCGATGAGGTGACTTTGAAAGTCCTCGACCCGCTTGGGCTCTTTGAGGCCGTGACGATCTAAGGGCAAAAGCAGTTTCCATGAGAAACCCCAAATATAACGACAACCTTGAAATGCAATGAAATTCACTAAAAGCAGACAAAGCTTCTTTACCGGTGATGATGACGAGGGCTGCGAGGCAGGAAAACAAGTAGACGTCTAAGTTCAAGCGGCGAAGGCTGTGCGAGAAATCCATTATGGAGTCGATCCAGTCACCGAAACTGCGAGCGCACTGTAGTCGGTGGAGCACCACGCCATCGCAGAAGATCAGCTCATTCTTTTCTGGATCTGACCTGAATTATTTTAAACCATTACATCAGTGAGAGCATTGACCAACGTGAAGGAATGTAGCAAAATATTAGTGAACCACACTTTTTTTTTTTAACAGCAGAAGAAAGAACACTGACCTGTAAGCCAGGCGGAGGATAAAGAGTTCAACAAAAGCAGATTCGAGGAGCAGCTCCTGGTCTTCTGTGCAGAAGTCCGTGAATCCTGGGATGGCTTGAGCCCATTTCCTTATCACATCCAAGGAACCAGTCAGTAAATCATAGAACTGCTGGATATCACCAGCATCCTCCTTCTCTTTCGAGCTGTCTGCTGTCTCCTGGTACTGAGGAGGGGGGAAAAGGGTTAGTTAGCTAAAGAGATTTTCAGAGGGCTATTTAGTGCTGTTGGTTTGACTCTACATTGTCACCAGTGTAAATTCAGATGAAGAAGACATGGGTTAGCTACAAGTTTTGAGTTACCTTGGAATAGTCAAGCTTTCCGATGGTTGGGCTTGAGTCTAGATGAGCCCTGACAAGCGAAGCTATGATGTTGACACTGGGGGTCGTGGATGAAGCCTCAACTGGGATCTTGGGCTTGGAGGGCAGGCGACCTCTGCGACCTTTAAGGCTGTCCGTACGAACAACTAAAAGAGGACAAGGCGAGGAACATGTTTATGACTCCTACATGACTCTTTCGGCATTTGAAAAACAAAAACTGTATCAGCTGACGTTTCCCTTTTTCTTCAACTGTCAATGTAAAGCTCTGGTTACATATGTCTCTGAGCTTCCTGGCTTTGCTGCTGCAAAACTGTCATTACTAACCCCGATTTGTGGCTGTCATGCATTAGCCAATGCGAGCTTTGAAAGAGTATCACATTGCATTACCTTCTTTGACCATTCCCACTGCAAGACATTTCTGGAAACGACAGAACTGGCATCGGTTTCTCCTCCTCTTGTCTACTGGACAGTCTTTATTGGCAAGGCACACATACTTTGCATTTTTCTGGACAGTTCGCTGTCAAACACACAAAGAAAACACATTAATATGGAATCATAATGTGGCGAACATATACGACTGCAAGTGACTGAAATGCACAAGTCTTATTTTTGTTTATAGCATCAATTTCTGATCACCAGCAACCCTGACTTGGATGAGTGGTTAAGAAAACAGATTAATGGATTTCTGCTCAATCAACTGTGAGCCTCTCTTAAACAAAGATACAGTGATAACTGGTACATTACTGCTCAGTATAAGTGCTAAAAATATTTTTAAAACAATGTAATAATTTTATTATTTGCCAATACTGAAGCTGTGCACTTGTGTCTTACGTTAGCACACACAAACTCACTTTATAAATATATTTCTGAAGAATTATCGCCGTGATTGCACAGTTTAAAAAATATAACATGACTGCTCTCTGGTGGATGTGGTTTGCTCACTTTGTCAGTGAATCTAAATCATCTTAAATATATGAAACACATGTGCACATATGCATAATTACTGCAGTTTTTTTGTTACTTGTTGCATACATGACACACACACTGAGATATCAGCTATGACTGCAGGTTTATTCTCCTTGATGACTGCAGCATCATGTACTCAGTCAAACAAATCTGTAATCTTAAAGCTGCTAAATATCTTCTTTTCTTTTTTTTACCTTGAAAAAACCTTTGCATCCCTCACAGGTGCGGACTCCATAGTGCTGGCAGGAAGCGTTATCACCACAAACTGCACAGCGACTCTCGTTGGATCCTGGGTTTGGTGTTTTAGGAGACATCATGGCACCCTCCGCTGTCTTGGGGCTTTCTAGAAGTCTGTGCTCCAGAGAAACTGGGGGGCAGTGAAGTGGGGAAACATGCTGCTGAGGAGACAGGAAGAAGTGGTCTTCCTGGCTCGGCTGAGCATCCTGGTGCTGCTGCCCCATGGGGGAGTGTTGTTCTGGTGCAGAGCTGAAGGTGAAAAAGGAAAGCTGCTGAGCTATGGCAGCCTTGTCAGCCACAGAGGTCAGGGGGGCTGAGGGGTAGGGGCTGAAAGGGGAATCCCAGACAGGTGCAGACTCTGTCTGAAAGCTTGGTGTTGGAGGAGAAGCAGTGGCATAGACTGGGCTGCCATAGTAGTCAGAGCTGCATGACGACAGCGTTTCGTCGAGGCAGTTGAGTGCAAAGGATCCTGGGTAGCAGCCATACACCTGGAGATCATCCAGCTTGAAGGCCTGGCTGTGCATCTGAGAGCTGGTGCTTTCAGCTACTCCTGTGTGGCTGAATGAAACAGTAGAGGCAGGAGGAGAGGTGGTAATCTTACAGGAATATGCATCAAACTCCCCGACATAGCCATTTCCAACCAAAGTGTTGATGCTGGGCAATGAAGATGTGGACAGCTGGTCCTTTTGGCCACTGAAGTCCATCACCAGTGTGGCACTGAGGTCAGGATTCAAGAAATCAGAGCTGAAGTAGTTGTCATGGGGCAGGGATGCATACTGGGTTTGTACACAGGGCATTGCTAGGAAAGAGAAAACCAACATTTAAAACAACTAAAATAAATCCTTAAAGATAAATACTGATTCATTTCTGGGTAACAAACATGACTTTATTAAATTCTCTCTCTGAACACTGCATCTTTGTGAGGTAGATTTAAAGCAACACAGTCTAAGTCAGATATTCCCATCTCAAATTAGTGCAGTAAATATGACTTTGTGATCATTTTTCGAAATAAAACCAAGTGAGTTAAATCACTCGAGACAAATGGCCCCAATAATGAGCTGACTCTTTAAACATATATTAGAAACTAGATATTGCTACTGGATATATAATGGTCAACATTTCTTAATGCTTCCTCTATAATAATCTAAACAGAGGGCAACATTAACACCTGAAATGTCCATCTCATTTCCCCAACATGCCTCTAACTTTATCAAGGGGCCTATTCGTCCCCTTGAAAAAAATGCAGAGGGTGGTCCAGTGGAGCAGTCAGGTATTGTCAGATATTGTGTTACTGGCTGTTAACGCTCTAAAAACCTCCTTCAGTAGAGGGCAACCCCTCTTTCACAACGCCTGTACTGGGGTGTGTTGCAGATTGTATGTCGGGGTGGGCTGACTGCCAGCTGAAATGGGAATAGTGGCAAAGTCTGTTTATGTGCATGGGTGGATGGGCGTGTATCTACAAGTGTCCTTACTTCTTCATTTTATAGCTTTTTATTTTTTTTCTCAATACAGAAGCTGAAGCATGTTCTTTGAAAGTTGAACTTAAATTTGCACAGCTATATTTGAATCGTGTGGAAACAAAACTGCCGAAGGGCCCAAATAGTTTTCAGCATGTAAATGCAAACAATTTTATGAATCTTCTCATTTCCCAACAGTGTTATAGAGCATGAAAGCCATTAACACAAGCACATACTGACAACAGAGGACAAAATTTGAACAAATGGAAATAGTAGAATCACAGCAGTCATATTAGTACTTGCAGATACCGTAAAATGTCCACGTTAAGATCAAAATACACTCCCATAATTCACTTCATCATATTATAAGAATTAGAAAAATATCAGTCTGCGCTGTTTAAGTTTATTATGGCTAAATATAACACTCATATCCCTTCTTTTATACCAGTGAGGGTCTAGCCAAATCAAGTGGACACTTAAAATCATGACCTCCGGCAGGTAGTTGAACTAGAGCAAATATGACACCATTAAAAAATTAGTTTTTATATTAGTAAGTAAACTGATGCAAACCTCAAGCTACTGATAACCATTTTGCCTTATGAGCTTAAGCTATGACAGAGATACTTATTTAGAAGTAAAGATGCAAACATGCGCATCTAAAAGCAGCAGTAATAAATAAAAAACAATAACAACTCACTAAAAGTCCACTTTTTACTCACCTGGTTTATGCAAATATCCCGAATTTGACGTTTTTCATTTATTCCAAATTAGAGAAAAAAAGATAAATGTCACCTCGGTTAGCTTCTGTCAGCACACACACTCATTCAGACACATTCACACACAACACACTCCGGGTCAGACCGAGGCAGACGGGCTCCACTCCGCTACACTCTTGTTTTATTTTGGGCTGCATCGACAAAAAGGCGTGCCTGTGCCCAAACATGGTTTTGGGGCGGTGGAACGTTCCGGGTCGGCAGCCAATCAGCTCTGGGCTCGACGCAGACGTTCTTCCGTGTGACGCACGCACGGGATTCCATTGACGCAAGATTCGAGGGAGCGTACCTGCTAAAAATACACCGCAACGAAAGCGGCGTTCACGTGGGGCTATTACTGGATGAAAAATGCTAAAAATAACCGCAATTTGGAGGCGCAGACGTTTTTTGGCTGGAAATGTAGATATTATACAAGTTTACACCAGCGGGGTGTGTTATCAGGTATCAGACCGGGAAACACCTGCATATTTTCTTTCAATTTTTCAGAAAATAGAAAGTCTCGCAACTAAACGCTTTGGGGGGAAAATCATCACAAGCACTTTTAAACGTTTTAACTGGAAATATACTTTTTACTTGTTATGTTTTTATATTTACTTCATACTTTTACTCGCATTTTTAATTGCTGAAATTATTCAAGAGCGTGGTCCATTACAATTTTTAATTACAAATGCAAAATTAATAATAATTATTAATAAGACTGAGTGGCACCTGGGTGAAGAAGGATAGGTGAGGCTAATCAGGGATGAAGATACAAAGGAAAAGTAAATATAAAAAACATGAGACAATGACTCTAACATATTCAAATGTGGCGTACAAGAACATTGGGGGGCAAGCTAGGAAAAATAATACAAGCAAACGTACTAAAATAAATAACTGGAATACAAATGGGAATACACTGAAACAAAGTGCTAAAGGCTCGAAATATAAAGAAGGAAGTAAAAAGTATTAGGAACCAAACAGAACATCAAATAGCAAGACTTCAGTCAGAAGACTCAAAACTCCATGTCCAAACCCGGGACTATGAAACACATTTCTAAATATGTCAGTGACTTCTGAAGCATATTGACTGTTAACTCTGTAAACTTCTTTGGAGCTGTCAGTTAACTCTACAGATATGTAATATTCAAACAGAAATTTGTTTAGATTTGTTTTTGTAATTGATGTTTCTGAGATCAAAAATGACCTTTAAATCTCTTCGTCTGTGCTTATTAAGCACTTCTATTACAAGAATATAAATACCCCGAGTCCTGTATAAACTATTGTCAAAACCAACAATTTAAACTTACATTTACTTTGTAAATTTGTCAGCATTAGTTTAAACATCACTTAATACCCGCCCACTGCAAACCAGCACGCTCTTGAACACTTGAACCCTCTCTGGGGATACTTGGGCATGATCCAGCTTGTGTAAAGAAAGTGAGGGGGCTTGTTCAAGCAACTGAGACCGGAGACCTGACGCAGACGCAGCTGCAGATGCTGCCTGCAGTTACCAGAGATAATTACGGGGGTTTGTGTTTTATCTTTCACGGTGGAAAACACACACGCGAATAAAAAGGGAGAGTATCACATCCAGTGTTAGTTTTCTGAATCCTTTACGTGGCATGCTTAATAGGTTTCATTAAAAATGAACTTTTTTTTCTCGTTTGCCAGATTTTGTGAAAATAAATACGATAAATAGTGACTGCTGCTGTGCTTTCGATGAATTTTTGTTGAACTGTTAACGCGAGCCAGCAGCGTTAAATCATCTCTGTGTATTCAAATAAAGTCAAAGAGGATTTCATATCTAAATATAAGATTACTGCTCGTATCATTTGTAATTGCGAACATGTTTTTAAAATGGCTTAATGGCAAAAAAAATATTTATTTAATATTTCATACCCGCTATCTTCCTCTCTGGTAGCGCCTGACGCTTCCTGCCCAAACATGCCAAACAGGTCACACCAAACTTCCGCTGTTGCCCTTTTTTTTTTCTCCACCAAACCTACGTAGCCTACCTTGGGATTAGTCCTCGTGCTCTTCCTCCCACGCCAAAGCAAAATCTGCCCCACTCCAGGCTGACCTGTTTTAGTACAAGGGAAATGCTCCATAGTCATGCCTATTAGGTAAATAAATGTGTGAATTAATATAACAATAACAGGTAGCAGATTCCATATCTCAATTAACCTCCCATTTACAATAAGAATAAAGAGATTTTTCTTTTGTATCTTCAGAAAATTATTGCAAGACCTTCATGGGGAGACATTACAGTGTAGACACACATCCAAAGGACAGAAAACAAAAAGTATTTGTTGAATAGACTTAAACAACCACACACATATGTCTCATCAGCCAATCAGATGGCAGCAACTCAGTGCATTTAGACATGATCAAGACATACTGCTCAAGTTCATACTGAGAACTGAGCAACTTTTAATATTGTTGGTGCCAGTCTGAATATTTCAGAAACTGCTGCTTACTGGAATTTTCCCACACAATCATCTGGTGAGTAAAATGAGTATCCAGTGAGCAGCAGTCCTCTGGGTTAAAAAGCCTTGTTGATGTCGGAGGTCATGGTAAATGGTAAACACCACAGCCTACCTGAGTTTTGTTGCTAATCCATTTACAACCACAATGTATTCATCTTTCACAGTGAACATCCCTCGTCACAACGTTCAAATCATCACAAACCGGTTTCCCAAACATGACAATGAATTCACTCATGTGGTCTCAGCAGTCACCAGATTTAAATTCAGCAGAGCACCTTTGAGACATGGTGTAACGGGAAACTCATGTCATGGATGTGCAGCTGATAAATCTGCAGCAACTGTGATGCTATCATGTCAGCATGGACCGAATTCTCTGAGAAATGTTTCCAGCAACTTGTTGAATCAGTTCCAAGAAGAATTTAGGCATTTTTGAAAGAAAAAGTGTTTGCAGCCCAGTACAAGCACATTACAAGTGTAAACAAGTACATTCAATATCCAACACAAGACTACTGAAAGTTGAAAACACATTGCCGAAACAATATCTTAGCTTTAAACTTTATTCATTCAATCACAAAGTAGAATACTTTGGCTAGCTTCCACCCAACGTTAGCATGACCTCATCAGTCATGTCTGTGTTTGAGAAGCTTTTTCAGTGCGAAGGAGTCTAATAAAAGTGTTGACACAAAGAATTAAATTGACAAAGTGAGGTTACAGGACAAAATTGGTAAAGAAGCTAACATTAAATATGATTTCAGGTATGTACACCGGGCGTATTAGACACAGTGGAATGCTGCTGCCATTAAACTCGTTAAATATGGGAGGGCTGTATTGAATGCCTCTCTCTTTATGACTTTCATAACTCAAAAAACCCCAAAAACACATATTCAGTTACATTCAATCAAGAGTTCCTTGCATTATTCTATCAACAGTTCTCTAAGAAACAGACAAAACATTCACGTGAATATCTTCTTATCTATCTTATTGTCTCTCAACTGGATGAACACTGGCAATGAAATACATGTCAACACACAGGACAGTTTATTTGGTGAACTGCTTTTTGTCACAAGCTGCACAAGGAAGTACAGATACTACTGTAAATATGATTTAGCACAACAAAACATCACAACATAAAATACAGCTAGTACATGCATGTTCCTTGTGCTTATACTGTGGGTACACAATGTGCTCTGATCCTTTATCTATAGAAACATAATGCATTGCATGAAAATTGGCACACAAAAGCAGCAGTCAAACTTGTCAAGTTTGCACTTTTGATATTGGTTTGTCAGTGTGGCATCTCTCTATGAAAGCAGTATCTTAAAATGATGTCAGGAACTGGGGGCAAAGGAAGTAAACAATGACAACACATGGTTACACACTCAATCCAACGCTGGTGAGCTGCAGTGATCCTCAGAGGGCCAGAGGACGTAGGAGCCACAACTCTATTTGAGGTGAAAGAAGCTGGATGGTTTGGTAGGTGGAGCCATTAGCATGCTAGCTTGGTTCTTGTGAGTTATGTGGATCTAAAATTCATAAAAGATGCAATTTAGGTTAGTTTAGGTTAGCCACAGAGATCCTTCCTTGTTGCTGGGTAACTATTCATTTGCCCAGCTGTCAGTAGATACTATGTGGCTCATATCAAGTTATTTTTTAATTTGTCTTTGGATATGAACGCACAGAAACCATTCCCATTGCTCTTTAACTGTCTACATTTTAGCAGAAGTCACTAAACCAATCATTAATACTCTCATTACAGACTTATCCAGCTGTGCTAGGACACCCCTGTCCCCAAGGGGACACAGTCTTTTTTGTGAACAGGGCAAATTGCACTTCAAATATTGGCCCACAAAATCCAAAACATGTCTCCAAAAAGGAAACAGTTTGGAACATCCCCATAATACTTGCACATGATTGCCTCTTTCTGTCTTACCCACATAACAATTGTGAGGTGGTCTGAAAGTAGCGCTGCCACTCAGTTCTAAGTGAGAGCCAATGATCTTGTGTTAATGTCTGCTGGTCAGTAAAGATGGACACTTGGACTTCACCTCCAAATTGCTTCAAGTATCTCTTTTAAGTTATATTAATCACAATCAATTCTGGTTATACTTGCTGTAGAAGTAACATGATTCAATTTCTGATCAAAAGACATTTATAAATGTTTTAGATTGCATTATGTTGCCGTTGTCTCTTCTCTTCCCCCTCATCATATTATTTAATAATGCTTACAGTACAAGGAGGCTGCATCCAGGGCTCACCATCGATCTGCATTGGAAATGCTTTAGATGTCCTGCACATAGGGAGCAATAACAGCAATGTGTAATTATACTACACTACATATACACACACTGTATGGTACTGAAAAATATTCCTGTTGTTTAGTAGGTAAAGTTCACAACCTAATGGTAATCTGGGAGGTCTGTGCCAGTCTGTGCCCAGCGCTCTTCAGCCCAGTATAGATTTGTCCCATCTCTATAACCCCTTCAAGCCCGACCACCTCCAATCGTTTATCGCTTATATCTGAGGAGTTGTTAAAAAGCAGAGTAATTTAACCGTGTTTGTAAATGTCAAATCAGGACTACAATCTATGACAATGATATGTGAGGATTCAGGAGTGTAAACAGCTGAGTCTCACCTTGGGA